ATATGCTAACTTTTTCTCCCTTACTACTCTCTTTACATCATCATTCCACCAATCGCTCCTCTTCCCTCCCGCACCCACTTTCCTGTAACCACAAACTTCTGCTGAACACTCTAACACTACATTTTTAAACCTACCTCATACCTCTTCGATCCCATTGCCTATGCTCTCATTAGCCCATCTATCCTCCAATAGCTGTTTATATCTTACCCTAACTGCCTCCTCTTTTAGTTTATAAACCTTCACCTCTCTCTTCCCTGATGCTTCTATTCTCCTTGTATCCCATCTACCTTTTACTCTCAGTGCAGCTACAACTAGAAAGTGATCTGATATATCTGTGGCCCCTCTATAAACATGTACATCCTGAAGTCTACTCAACAGTCTTTTATCTACCAATACATTATCCAACAAACTACTGAGATTACTTTCCGGTAAAAGCAGGTCTTAGACAGGGATGTGCAATGTCACCATGGTTGTTTAATACAGTGGTCCCTTGATAATCGAAGGGCTCGAGTCGTAATTTTCGGAAATCATAGCGATATTTTCGTCAAAACATGGGCTCGCTAATCATAGATTGACTCGCAAATAGTAATTCGTCCGGAGCGCATACTCACGCTCTGAGCTGGGGCGGCCTCCCTTCCCAGCCAGTGTGGCATTGTTTACCAGTGAGTGACGGTCCTCTCACTTGCTCATACGAAATATTTCATAATATTCCATTCATTTTAGTGCTTGCAAGTACTAAATAAGCTACCATGGCTCCAAAGAAAGCTCCTAGAGCCAAGCCTTTGGTAAAGAAGGTGAGAAATACGATTGAATTTAAGAAAAACATCATTGAACAATATGAAAGTGGCGTACATGTGGCCGAACTGGCCAGGATGTATAACAAGCCCTATACAACCATATCTTCCATCGTGGCCAAGAAAAAGGAAATCAAGGATGCTGTTGTTGCAAAGGGAGTAAGTATGCTGACAAAAATGAGATCACCAGTACTCGAAGAGGTTGAGAAGTTATTATTGGTGTGGATAAACGAGAAACAATTAGCAGGAGATAGTATTATGACGTCGATTATTTGTGAAAAGGCTAGGCAGTTGCACAACAATCTGGTAAAGAAATTGCCTGCAACTAGTGGTGATGTCAATGAATTTAAGGCCAGCAAAGGTTGGTTTGAGATTTAACAACCGTAGTGGCATACACAGTGTGGTAAGGCATGGTGAGGCTGCCAGTTCGGACCACAAAGCGGCTGAAAAATACGTGCATGAATTCAAGGAGTACATAGAGGCTGAAGGACTGAAACCTGAACAAGTGTTCAATTGTGACGAAACAGGCCTCTTTTGGAAGAAAATGCCAAAGAGGACCTACATTGCACAGGAGGAAAAGGCACTGCCAGGACACAAGCCTATGAAAGAGAGGCTGACACATGTTCTGTGCTAATGCTAGTGGGGATTTCAAACTGAAGCCATTACTAGTATACCATTCTGAAAATCCCAGAGTGTTCAGGAAAAACAATGTTATGAAGAGTAAATTGTGTGTGTTTTGGAAATCTAATAGTAAGGCATGGGTCACGAGGGAAATTTTTGTCTAGTGGTTCAATGAAGTGTTTGGCCCTAGTGTGAAGAATTACCTCCTGGAAAAGAAATTGGATCTCAAGTGCCTCCTAGTAATGGACAATGCACCTGCTCATCCTCCAAACTTGGATGACCTAATTTTCAAGGAGTTTGGGTTCATCACAGTAAAGTTCTTGCCCCCGAATACCACTCCTCTCCTCCAGCCCATGGACCAGCAGGTCATTGCAAACTTTAAAAAACTCGACACCAAAGCAATGTTTCAAAGGTGCTTGAATGTGACCTCAGACACTCACTTGACCCTAAGAGATTTTTGGAGAGAACACTTCAGCATCCTCCACTGCATAACCCTTATAGGTACGGCTTGGGAGGGAGTGACTACCAAGACTTAGAACTCTGCTTGGAGAAAATTGTGGGCAGATTGTGTTGACAAGAGGGATTTTGAAGGGTTTGGGGACCCTGATGAGCCTATGTCTCTTGTTAAATCTATTGTGGCACTGGGAAGTTCCATGGGGTTGGATGTGAGTTTGGAGGATGTGGAAGAGTTGGTGGAAGACCACAACGAAGAGCTCACCACTGAGGAGCTGCAAGAGCTTCAGCAGGAAGGGCAACAGATTGCAGCTTGGAATCTTGCTGCAGAGGAGGAGGAAGAGAGATGGAAGAAGTTGCCTTCTTCAGAAATTAAGGAGATTTTTGAAGTGTGGGGTAAGATGGAAAGATTTATGGAGAAACATCACCCTGACAAGGCTGTTGCAAGCCATGTTGGCAACATGTACAGTGACAGAGTCTTGGCCCATTTTAGGGAAGTGTTAAAGAGAGGCCAGAAACAGAGCTCTCTGGACAGTTATTTTGCAAGACAGGACTCCAGTGACTCTCAAGCTGGTCCTAGTGGCATTAAGAAACAGAGAAGAGAAGTAACCCCAGAAAAGCAATTGGTACCTGAGGTGTTGATGGAAGGGGATTCCCCTTCCAAACTATAAATAATCCAATCTCTCTCCTCCTCCAGTCTTCCATACACTAAGAAGAATCGCCAATAAAGGTAAGTGTTATGTTGTTAATGTTTCATTCATCATGTCCCATTGTATTGTTTAAGTACTACATCTATATTTCATGTAAACAATTTTTTTGTTTTAATACTTCTGGGTGTCAGGAACGGATTAATTGTATTTACATTATTTCTTATAGGGAAAATTGATTCGAAAATCATAATTTCGATAATAGTAACACCTCCAGGAATGGATTAATTACGATAAACTAGGGACCACTGTATATTTATAGATGGGGTTGTAAAAGAAGTAAATGCTAGGGTGCTGGGGAGAGGGGTGGGATTAAATTATGTGGAATCAAATACAAAATGGGAGTTGACACAGTTACTTTTTGCTGATGATACTGTGCTTATGGAAGATTCTAAAGAAAAGTTGCGAAGGTTAGTGGACGAGTTTGGGAGGGTGTGTAAAGGTAGAAAGTTGAAAGTGAACATTGATAAGAGTAAGGTGATGAGGGTATCAAATGATTTAGATAAAGAAAAATTGGATATCACAATGGAGAGAGGGTGTATGGAAGAAGTGAATGTTTTTAGATATTTGGGTGTTGATGTGTCAGCGGATGGATTTATGAAGGATGAGGTTAACCATAGAATTGATGAAGGAAAAAAAGTGAGTGGTGTGCTGAGGTATGTGTGGAGACAAAAAAAAAAAAAAAGTTATCTATGGAGGCAAAGAAGGGAATGTATGAAAGTATAGTGGTACCAACACTCTTACATGGGCGTGAAACTTGGGTTGTAAATGCAGCAGCGAGGCGGCGGGTGGAGGCAGTGGAGATGTCTTGTCTAAGGGCAATGTGTGGAGTAAATATTATGCAGAAAATTCAGTGTGGAAATTAGGAGAAGGTGTAGACTTAGTAAAAGCATTAGTCGGAGGGCTGGAGGGGTTGTCGAGGTGGTTTGGTCATTTAGAGAGAATGGATCCAAGAAGAATGACATGGAGAGCATCTAAATCTGTAGGGTAAGGAAGGAAGGCGGGGTAGGGGTCATCCTCGAAAAGGTTGGAGGGAGAGGGTAAAGGAGGTTGTGTGGGCGAGGGGCTTGGATTTCCAGCAAGCGTGAGCGAGCGTGTTAGATAAGAGTGAATGGAGACGAATGGTTTTTGGGACCTGACAAGCTGTTGGAGTGTGAACAGGGTAATATTTAGTGAATGGATTCAGGGAAACCGGTTATTCTTATATAGCCAGACTCGGGCACTGGAAATGGGAAGCACAATGCCTGCACTTTAATGGAGGGGTTCGGGATATTGGCAGTTTGGAGGGATAGATTATATATCTTTATATATGCTTCTAAACTGTTGTATCTGGGTGCCTCAGCAAAAACAGTGATTATGTATGAGGTGAAAGTACTGAATGATGATGAAAGTATTTTCTCTTTGGGGATTTTCTTTCTTTTAGGGTCACCCTGCCTCGGTGGGAGATGGCCGATTTGTTGGAAAAAAAAAATGGGAGAGGACTTGTCAGAAGATGGGTCAATGAAAGACAAGGCAAATCATAGAATTAACGAGGGAAAAAGGTCAGTGATGCACTGAGGAGTCTGTGGAGACAAAGAACATTATCCATGGAAGAAAAGAGGGGAATGTATGAGAGTATAGTTATACTAATGCTTTTATGTAGGTGTGAAGCATAGGCAGTGAATGTTGCAACAAGGAGGCAGTTGGAGGCAGTGGAGATGTCGTGTCTGAGGGCAATGTGTGGCATGAATAGTGCGCAGATAATCCATAGCTTGGAAATTTGGAGGAGGTGCGGGATTATTAAAAGTATTTTCCAGATGGGTGAGGAGGGGTTGTTGAAGTGGTTCAGACATTTAGAAAGGATGGAGCAAATTAAACTGACTTGGAGAGTATATAAATTCATAGTGGAAGATGGTGTAGGCATCAGCCTAGGAAAGGTTGGAGGGAAGGGAGGCGCGGGAAGTTTTGTATGCAAGGGGTTTGGACTTCCAGCATGTGTGCATGAGCATGTTAGAGAGTGAGTGGAGACAAGTGGTTTTTATGACTTGACGTGCTGTTGGAGTGTGAGCAAAATAACATTTATGAAGGGATTCAGGTAAACCTGAGTCCTGAAAGTGGGAAGTACAGTGTGTGTGCTCTAAAGGAGGGGTGTTGATATGTTACAATTTTTTAACTGTAGTGTAGGCATGCCTCTGGCATGACGGTGATGGAGTGAATGAGGATGATTTTTTTTTTTTTGATGGTCACCCTGCCTCAGTGGGAAACAGCTGTGTTCATAAAAAAATAAAATGAAGTTTGCCTGTTATATAGCTTAATTTACCAAAGCATACCTTGTAGCACACTATAATGACTTCGGTGGGAGACAGCCGACTTGTTGGAAAAAAAAAAACCAAGTTCGTATAATTAACTTGAAAAAGGTAACATGTACTAGGCAAATAACTCTTACCATAAACTGGCTGTGGAAGGGCATCCTCCTCGCCTCCATTCTTTTTCAATCGAGAAAGGAACATGGCTGCTTTCTTTCTTCGTTCCTGTTGTTTTCTCTCAGGGTGAGAGACATGACTTGAAGTATGAGTGGATGCGGGTGATGTGCCATGAGATTTATCATGATGCAATCCAGTATTACTGTCTCTCGAGCGTTCGTCATCATAGTTTTTCTCACTGCGGCTGTGTTCTTCTGTATCTGCTTCATTGCCCATCTCTTGTGCTATGAAAGAATTTAATGCATATTAACAGATTATATATACAATATTTCACATTTCAAACAGGACACAGTCAAATGCAAGCTTATTTTTATTTATACACTTTTCACTAATTGCTTTCTCCAATACATACCTAAAAAAAAAAAAAAGAAAAAAAAAAGAAAAAAGGAAAAAAAAAAAAATGCTCCAGTAAGTGACAAAATTTGACTTGCACAGAAAATGGGATCTGTGATGAACAGGTAAATTAGTCATCCAAAGATTGTCATGGACTCTTAAATATTTTATTTTGCATTAATTAGGAGACCAATCACAGCACTGCACTTTTTGGTCCCCATATTAGAATAAGTGATATTAACCTTTATGGGGACCAAAGACTATTTCATCAACAGCATCATTAATCCAATCCAATTAGAAAAAAAGTGCACTAATCCAAAGAGGTTTTCAGCCCTAGTAATCCAGTGGTTAGTTTAGGACATCATGGAATAAGGACAAGCCATCCTAAAGACCTAAACCCTTAAACCCTAAATATCATTCATTATCTATGCCTCACTACATTATGATCAAATGATATACAAATGATCACAGAGAGACTAAAATTTATAAATGCCTGGTTTCACTGTCTTCCACAAGAAAATTAATACAACATTTACATCCATAGTAAATCCTTATCAGTACAGTATATGATTCAATATTCAATAGCTGATACATGACAGACTACATTACTGGACTTAATAGATTTTATACTTTAACCCTTTGACTGTCGCAACCCCAAATCCTGAAGTGTTTTCTGGTGTCGAAAAATTTTTGGGAAAAAAAAAAAATTTTTTCTTATGAAATGATAGAGAATCTTTTCTCAATGGTAATGACACCAAAACTACAAAATATGATCAAAAACTTACAGAATTACGCTCCCGTGAAGTTAGTGATCTCAGCGATATATACGTATTGGCGATTTCGCTGACTTTGAGCCCTATTTTCGGCCAATTCCATTGTTCCATTCAACCAAACTTATAGCTATTCCTTTAGAACTCCATTTTTTTCTATCAATTGAGAACAAGAAACCACCCATTTACCAATTTCAACTACCCAATAAAGTGGTCAGAAATTGGCAATTTGGCCAATTTCACACAAATTAAAGAAGATGCCAATTTCAAAATAGGATCCAGATTAAAAAATGCAGACATTTTTGGCACTAAAATAACATATCCTCTGTTCACTAGTCATGTCTCCAGGCCCCTCTGATATTACTCTTGCTTTCTATTTTGATTTTTTATTCACACAAAAAATAGAAGATTTACTGTTATGCAGACTACTGCATTATTGTAAAAATGGTATAAATAATATCAGTGCACTAGTGAAAGAATATTAGACTCCCTAGTTGATGTGTATTGGACGTGTGGTGTGATTTGCTTACTCTTGAACATTGGTAAAAGTCGAACATTTCTGCTACTTTGAGCTAAATTTCAAGGTCTTTTTCATCGTGAAACTAACCAAAATCATCTATTTCTGTAATATGTTTTCCATTCTATCAAATTAGACCAAGAAAACAAGAATACAACCATAAATACTAAACGAAAATACATCTCAAAGCCAGCGTTTTAATCCAAAAACACGGTCGGAGTTTTTTTTCTCTCATTATGCACTGTGTGCTGCAGGATTTTTTTTTATACATTGCGCACCAACCACACAGACCCATTCTCTCACATATGGGCCTAGCAGCTTTCTCCTGCTTGATTTGAAGGCGCTAGAATTATCGAGTATATATACGTCCAAAACACTGGCTTCTAAGATGTACAGTAGGGCCCCGCTTTATGGTGCTTCTCTTTACGGTGTTCCACTAATACGGTCATTTCAAATTATGACCAAAACACACTATATGGCTCCCCCCCACCTGACTTTCTAATACGGTCACCATGCCCCGCCCGGTTTGTTTACATTCTCCGTGAGATCCGTAAGCACCAAGTCAATCCATTATGTCTGGAAACTCCAAAATTTCAAGTGTTTTTAAAATTTATTTCATATTTTATATATACTCTGATAATTATACTTATGTATACCTGTACCTAAATAAACTTACACACTGCTGGTGTGTAGGTACACATTAAAATCACTACGAGTGTCTTATGTCACGCCATATTAGTAATGATAATAATAAATAATAATAATAATATAATAATAATAATAATAATAATAATAATAATAATCACCGAGTCTCATTATATGTAGTACGTATATTACGTTAATACACAGTACATATTTTCATTAACCCCTTGACTGTCGCAACCCCCAATCCTGAGGTGTCTCCTGGTGTCGCAAAATTTAAAAAAAAAAAAATTATTTTTTCTTATGAAATAATAGAGAATCTTTTCCCGATTGTAATGACACCAAAAAAACGAAATTTGATGGAAAACTGATGGAATTATGCTCTCGCAAAGTTAGCGACCTCGGCGCTGTTTACAAATCGGCGATTTCGCCCACTTTGAGCCCTATTTTCGGCTAATTCCGTTGTTCCAGTAGCCCAAACTCATAGCTATTTCTTTAGAACTCCATTTTTTCTATCGATTGAGTACAAGAAACTGCCCATTTACCGATTTCAACTACCTAATAATGTGGTTAGAAATTTGCAATTTGGCCAATTTCACAAAAACTAAAAAATATGAAAATTTCAAAATAAGGTCCAGAATGAACAATGCAGACATTCCTGGCTCTAAAATAGCATTTTCTTTGTTCATCAGTCATGTCTCAAGGCACCTCTGATATTACTCTTGCTTTCTATTTTGAATTTTTATTCACACAAAAAATAGAAGACTTACTATTATGCAGACTACTGCAATACTGTAATAATTGTATAAATAACATCAACCAATTCATGACTGCATATTAGAATGGCTAGTTGGACATTTATTGGACAATGGCATCATTTGTTTACTTTTGAACATTGGCAAAAATCAAACATTTCCCCTACTTCGAGCTCCATTTCTAGGTTCTTTTTATAGTAAAATCAATCAAAATCACCTCTATTTCTATAATATGTTTTCCATTCTATCAAATGAGACCAAGAAAACGAGAATACAACCATAAATACTATACGAAAATAGACCACAAATTCGGCATTTTAATTAAAAAAAAAATGGTCGGAGTTTTTTTTTTCTCATTATGCACTGCGTGTTCCAGGATTTTTTTTGTATGGTGCACACTGACCACACAGACCCATTCTCTCACATGTGGGCCTACCAGCTTTCTCCTGCTTGATTTGAAGCCGCTAGAATTTATGAGTATATATACACCAAACACGGTACCTCGTAAGACGTATATATACGGCCGCGACAGTCAAAGGGTTAATCCATCAATGATATTTTTTTCAAAATTATATAATAAACATGATACATAACATATAAAGATAAATACACCCCCAGCAGAATAAATCAACATAAATATGAAATGTGGTAGCCAGACAACTTGTACGAGTGACGGCAAGAATAACGTTTTCTCTAGTCCAACATAAGAGAAAATGTGTTACTGGGGTTAACTGTAGAAAATTATTCCTTTCGTAAGAAGTAAATAAGTTTATTCAGGTATACACAAATACAGTTACATAGATTATCATAAATAGCAGCATATGTGTAAAATACCTAGGATAACCCAAGAAATAGTCAGTGTGACTTATTTCCAGTGCCTTCACTCAGAGCTTCATTTCTTCTAAAAATGGTGTTACATGAGAATGGTAGTGTTCCTCTTTATTTATTCAACTGCATCAATGTCGAGACAATTCGTAGACAATGTAACTTGTGCACAAACCAGACGTGTGCACCTGGTTTGTTTACAAAACTTGCATTTGCCTGGTTTGTTTACATAACTCTGTGCCTGTCCTCTCTCATGTACTCTCTCTCATTCTCTCTCTCATTCTCATTCTCTCTCTCATTCTCTCTCTCTCTCATTCTCTCTCTCTCTCATTCTCTCTCTCATTCTCTCTCTCTCTCATTCTCTCTCTCTCTCATTCTCTCTCTCTCTCATTCTCTCTCTCTCTCATTCTCTCTCTCTCTCATTCTCTCTCTCATTCTCTCTCTCATTCTCTCTCTCTCATTCTCTCTCTCTCATTCTCTCTCTCTCTCTCTCTCTCCTCTCTCTCTCTCTCTCTCTTCTCTCTCCTCTCTCTCCATCCTCTCATTCTTCTCTCTCTCATTCATTCTCTCTCTCATTCATTCTCTCTCATTCATTCTCTCTCTCATTCATTCTCTCTCTCATTCATTCTCTCTCTCATTCATTCTCTCTCTCATTCTCCTCATCTCTCTCTCTCATTCATTCTCTCTCTCATTCATTCTCTCTCATCATTCTCTCTCTCTCTTTCATTCTCTCCTCTCCTCTATTCATTCTCTCTCTCATCTCTCCTCTCATTCTCTCTCTCATCTCATTCTCTCTCTCTCTCTTCTCTCTCTCTCTCATTCTCTCTCTCTCTCATTCTTCTCTCTCTCTCATTCTCTCTCTCTCTCATTCTCTCTCTCTCATTCTCTCTCTCCATTCTCTCTCTCTCTCTTCTCTCTCCTCTCTCTCTCTCTCTCACCTTCTCTCTCTCTCTCTCTCTCTTCTCTCTCTCTCTCTCATTCTCTCTCTCTCTCTCATTCTCTCTCTCTCTCATTTATTCATTTTATCTCATTTACTCACCTCTGACTCTACATTAAGACTACAAATATTTTAAGGCAAGTAATGAGTGAACTGTACAGTGGACCCCCGGTTAACGATTTTAATCCGTGCAAGAGGGGTAATTGTTATGCGAAATAATCGTTATGTGAATGAATTTTCCCCATAAGAAATAATGGAAATAAAATTAATCCGTGCAAGACACCCAAAAGTATGAAAAAAAAAAATTTTTACCACATGAAATATTAATTTTAATACACACAAACTGAAAAAGGCATGCACACTTACATGACACTTACTTTTATTGAAGATCTGGTGATGATTGATGGGATGGGAGGAGGGGAGAGCATTATCTTCTTACTGTTTA